ATGACCTGCACATTTGAATTCCATAAGAATTACATACCTCAACCATCAACTAATCCCAACCTTGTATAACAAAACATGCTCTAAGGAATACTTGTCCCACAGCTGCGGATTGTCAGTTGTCATACCTCAAACACCTTGCTGAATATCTGCAGAACCACTCAGTAAAAACATACCCTGCAGAGGTCCACAGAGAAGTATTTGAGGTCATAAAACCAAGTCATCAACATTTGTAATCCTCCATAGTATGGATTGTATCACATGTTTACCAGTGAATTAGATGAGTTGATGATTGAACTATAGAATTGGTATGGAATTTAATTCTGTAGGCTGTTTTTGTAGGTAAATTAAGTAATCAGAGATGATTTTGGGAAAGAAATCCATTAGAAAAAGTTCATTATATCTTGGATTTCACAGAGAGAAATCATTGCATTATGCAGAAGTCTGGGGTGTTGGCTGTGTATCATTCTACTCACCAGTGATCTTACCCCAAATTCATGATATTCTGTGGTATATTGTGGATAATTTTATGCACTTGAGGTCTTTCCAACCTAGCCTAGAAAACACAGAAGGTCACATTGTTTTCTAAATTTTCATGTAATCATAAATATAGTACATGTGATGTATATTAGGATGAGAATTAATGTCATGATAGAATATGTTAGGTTCAAGATTATCTACACACAAATACCATTTACAGCTTTCAATTGAGGAGAACCATCAGTCAACTATCCACATTGTTTATACTAATATGACACTTTAGGTTGTGAGGTGCAAGGGGATTTTGTCAATGTAGACAAGTTTATGGTTGTTTATGAAATGCCACCTGACTAGGTAGTTTGATGGGTGGATAACTTGAGTGACTATGAACAAAGCAATCAAGTGTGCTCAATATTAATTATGCAAAACAATGCTTCATATTATTCTCTGACCTTCACATTCCAAAATTGCCTTATCACAATTATCATTGCCATGTTCTGAATAATCATTTTTTCTTGTCAAATGTTTTTTTTCCTGCAGAATTCATAAGTTTGTGCGCACTTATAATATGAGTTTTGTGCAATGTGGGGGGAGGATTATATTTGTTGTGTACTTGTAGCTTCATGCTCATCTTAGATCCATGCTGATATATCTGTTTTTTCACCCATTAATCTACAGTTATAATTCTCCTTTTTGTCACTGCTAACATATATCAAGTTCTCAAATGGATGACTCTCTGAAATGTATTTCTTGATCAAATGAACAGATTTTGATTGTATTCTTGCTGATATAATTATTGAGTATATTTCTATCCTTACTAGTAACAATGTTTTTCAACAAGCATCATTGTTCAATTTGGGAAAAAGGACTGAAACAAAAGTCTGATATCTCTTTGTAGACCAGTCAACATACTCCTTTGCAGCTCTAAGTGCTGCAAATAACACTGTGCCAACCATTCCACAAGCTGACAAGACTACACCTCAATATAAGAGAATACCTGACTTGAAGTTTTGATCAACTTCTGCTTGTGGAAGATCTTCAGTATGTGTTTCTGGTTGTTTGGTTCTAGAGTATTGCATAGACTGCAGAGCTTGAGATGATTTATCTCAAGCTTGACAATCCCCTATGGTGAGGTTTAGGCAAACCATTGGAAGTGGGGGCCATTCCATAATCCTGATGTGCCTGTTCACTCATCTTGTTTGAATATATGATCTTCTCCTTTAGTTGCTCATTGGCAATTGTGAAAACAACATCACTTGATTTGGAAGCGTTTTGACTAACTCGTACCTTATGACTTGCATCAATCCTGGACCCAATCCCATGTAGGTTAATCCAGCCACAAAAGGCCCTGTGCTCCTTCAAGAGGTTCACACCAATGAAAAGCTGTCCAAATCTCATTCTAAAGTGGCTGTGAAATCAATATATTGACCAGAGCATTCAAAGTTAGTTGGATTTTGAATGCCCCACCAAATGGGTAAGATTGAAAAGAAATAAGTAAAGTATAAGAAAGTGCAAACATACTAATTTGAATAAGCTGTGGTCAAGCTTATTGCAGATAGTTTCTGACTGTGAACCAAGATTGACCAATACTGATATGTATGCCAAGTTTCTGTGGGATGGCAAGGTCAGGTCAGGAAATGCATACATTGGTACAACGTGTTTCTTAAATAATTTCACATATGTGCTTTTATATCATGAATAGAGAAAGATAAAATCATCTAGACTATTGCAAGAAGTACTCACCAATGAGATTGATTATATATGTGATTATTTATGTCACACCTGAAAAAATGACCTCGATTACAAATGAACAAAGAATGACAAAGAATGAAGGGGTGTATGTGATTATGACCCGGAATTAATCCCCACAGAAAACTTCAGAAATATATTCCAAAGACTTTCCATAATGTAGAATCCCACAGCTGTTTCAAGTTAAGGAAGAACCCCCAACAATCCAGGGTTCTATGAAACAATCCATGCATTGTTTGAAGTGCAAGTATCTAGATAATCACATGAGTTCATCAAGAAATACAGGATTATACTAACTTTGATCTTGCAGTTCAAGCCTGTTTGCTAGACTGTCCATGTGGTCATTTTGTGATGCTTCATTTGACATTTTCATCTTGCAATCCAAAATCATCTGTTCAGGCTTAGGCATGTTATAAATCTTTCAACAAAATGATTTTTCAACAGTTCAATATTGACCTGTAGATTCCAAATGCTTGAAATATCTAAATGAAACAGATTTCTAGACAACCAGAGCTTTTGGTATTGTTTTGGTGTGGTCAGTTTCACTTGAGGACTTCAGAGATTCTTTTTCTTTAGCTCTTTATGGGACAATTGACCAGCATACATACATATTGAAAAGGATGAACTCTAGGCTATATGTGCTTTAATGTTAAAACAAGAGATCACACTCAACCTCTTTTCACAAACTGGTGCATGGATCATTTAAATATTGAGGTCCAAGGAATTTGCAACTTCAAACTCTGCAGAAGCAGATGATTGGCAAAGTTGAGAGTGTGGGCAAACAACACCCACCCAAACTACATGTGCAAGGGACATCTGCACTGATGGCTTTCAAAAGATTGGGATGAATTTATTTTCCGCTTCGTGATTTCTTTAAATGAAGACTAGATGTGGAGTTTTTCCCATTGAGTTTTCTTTTGTGGTCTTGATCAAGTGCGTGAGGATGAGACAAAGGGTCGAGAAATGCCCACGTTCAAGCGCGCACTGTACCGAATGAAATGTGTGAAATGTGTGTAATCGAGAGATGTCAATTTTCCCCACAGTTCAGCTGACATCTTCACTTGACTTCTCAAACTTCAACCTCGACTGACTCCAACGGTTTCTCTCCAAAACCAGTTTTACACCAAACCACCATGGCCAACTTACCAGCTTACTCAGAACCTTCATTTCTCTTACAAGTCGAAAATCAATTCCCAGAATGTCCAGCCATGACAGCCGGTAAATTGCTCAGTCATACCACTAACTTTCGACATCATAACGAACTTTGGCCACATGAACTTTGGGATTATGAATTTGACATTCAAGGGACTTGTTGGGAGAAGTTACCAGATTTGCCTATCATTGAAAAGGAAGAAGAGATTTCAAGCCCTACTCCGGCTGCTCAGTCAACAACAGAACCTTCTGAACCTATTCGATCACCTCGAGCCAAATCTGAATCTAACGAACATTCAAAATTTCCGATTCTCTCGAAAGCTGAACTTCACCTTGCAAGACCCCATGCCAATGCACTCTTTTGTCCTATCGAATGGAAATGGGTTGTGATCAAAAGTTTTGGTGACGATCATCTTCCGAATCAATGTCCTGGTTTGGCTCCCAAGGGTTCATCATCAAGTGACCCAGTAATGCTGATCGAGAACCAGAATGAGAACAGTACCGAACAAGATGGAATTCAAATCGAACCTACACCAGATTCAATCGGACATCATTTTTTTCAAATTTATAGAGGTGTAGTCGAACAAGCTAGAGCTGGTACATTACATCCTAATCCAATTTCAATTTTCGATCATGAAGGTCAAGTAATAAAAGAACTTGTTGAAGTCAAAGTAAAACCAGAAAACTGCAAATTAGGATGGGATGCAATGATTTGTTGTAGTTGTAGGCAAGGAATCGCAGTTTCGACGGTACAAACTGCTATCCCCTCAGTTTTTTCTAAACCTCATGCGGAAGCTTTGATTTCTCAAGCACGATCTTTGGTTTCGAATCATCCTTCTTCAACGGCATTGAAACCCGAGCAGGCAGTTCATAGGGCCTGGCACACTGTATTCATGTAGGTTGGATTCAGAATTTCATTTTCTTCGTATTCCATTGTGTGGCATGATGATATCCTGACGTCTGTTTTCTTTGCTGCATCCGTTTGTTGACTTTTCGATTATCACATGCTGACCTCACCTTTTCCACGGCTAAACACTAGTGTGATTCAAAATGCGCTGGTTGAGGGGAAACACTCGCCTTTACCGTTGGACGGCAAATCCTTGTCTGGTCGAATGCCGTGGAACCCAGTTTCGTAAGGCCAACAAAACAACATATCATCTAAAGACGCACGAATCTGATTGACTTTAATCTCGTCATCTGCAGCGAATCTATTTGGTCACATCTGGGAGCCAAGCGACGCGAGGATAACGGTAGACCATTGTTGGTAGTACCATCCTTGAGTGTGCAAAAAGCAGATGGAAGAGAAACTCGAGCGAAATGGATAAGAGCATTGATTGAAGTTTCAGTGTTCTTAAAATGGATGAAAATCAAGTATCGTTTGTTTTTGTCATTGTTGGCCATCTATTTAAAATCTTAAAGTAGAATTGATTGGGATGACCGAAAAAAAACGTCTTGAATCTGATGGTCTTCATTGGGTTTTTTTCCCACTTCTAGCTTATCTTGAAGAATCATCAAAAACAAATTATCAAGTTCCTATTAAACTTATACCAGCTCGTCAACAGATTTTACAGTCGATAGGAGGCGATAGTAGTAAGTCTCCACTGTTTTTTCGGAAATAAGACCCAAACTGATGCAAAAAACACATTCTTGTGTTCTAGTTCCGAAAATCACTTCACCCAGCACTTGGAAGAGTACCGATGGTCATCCTCCGGGTTATGGTTCTTACGCTGCATTGGGAATTTTACCAGATGTGGCAGATGAGGTAGTGATTTACGCTTACAAGCTACAATGCTCACTTTATCCGAGCAATCGGTATCGGTATTTTGAAGAGCTTAGACAGATTAATGGACTAAGAGGTACTCAATCTGAGATGATGCACCCTTTCGTGAGCGATCTGACCAACAAAGGTGCCGCCGGGTTAGTGAATCTCTCTCTCTCTTTTGCAGACCAAGATTATACTTCGGAGGGTGTCTCATCTACGAATATTTGTCTTTCCATATGTCGCGATGATGTTAGTGTACAAGAGACCGAAGAGGCTTGGTCGATCATTTGCGGTAAAGAACATGGATTCGACTTGGAGAAGGAAGATCAGATTGCGCAATCTCTGAACACCAAACTTGAGTCTACCCAGGATAAAAGTGAAAAGATTAAACTGTAAGTCTTTAAAACTCAGATGATAGGATTATATTGACGTTGGACTGAACTCACTTCACTCGTAATAAAATTGTCTTTTTTTGATTGGTTTGGATAGACGAGATGCATTACGAACTCTTGCTTGGGCGAATCCTTTGAATCAACTTTTGCAAGCTTTATTGGCTTCGACAGCTTCATTGGTTGATGTACCAGTCCAACCAGAAATGAGTGTGGATAAAGCTTATGCCACTTTGGGTGATGTACTTCCTGAAACAGATGACGAATTGCTTTGGATGGCATACGAGTTTGCAGTAAGTGATCCTGAAGATCTTTTATTGCACTCTGGTCCTTATATCCATTTCTTAAACAAATAAATCTGGACTTACTGATGATCATACTTTCTGCTTCAGACAAGCGATCAGCCCGGCCAAAAAAAGATATTACGCCAGGCGATTGGCGTCATTGCCCAACACCGTAACAGTTATCTTATTAGAACACGCCTGGCGGCTGAAGAAGCTGGTACGTTGTCCTTGCACATTGAGGATTGCAGTCTGGTCCGACTTGTGGACTACCATTGATCAAACCTTACTCACTGGCGACCCGTAACTTATCTGTAGGCACCGGCAACTCGACAAGTATGGACATAGTGCCGTATGGGCCTGTAGCGAATACGCATGATATCCCCGTAGGACTGAACAACATCGGCAAGTAAGTTATTGTATACTCGAGCTAAAACCATTGATATCCATCGATTCTGATATACGTTTTGTATCTGACCTGTCAGCACCTGTTATCTAAAGTCAGTAACTCTACAAATCACAAAGCAGGAATGCATAGTTTTTTGATTGACGGGGGTTTTGGTTTTGGGAACACTTTAGTTCTTTATTACAATATTTCTTTTCGGTAAAAGAGTTACGTGATGTCTTGTTGAGGTTTCCCGAGTACGCTCAAAGTGTAGCGGATGATGAACCCGAGAAAGAAGGCAAAAGGGTCGGTGGTAGAGTGGTATCGAAACCTGAAGTGACAAGATCAAAACAGTGTTGGTCAAAAAACCCTCATTATTCCTGTAAACTCTCACTTGCATACAGTTTCAATATTTAACTGATCTTTTGCTCTGGTTTACTTCTTCATAGTCGCATCTCAACTTCAAAACCTGTTCCAAGAGATGATTCAAACCCGACAGTCTGCAGTGACACCTGAGCGTGAACTAGCTTTTCTTGCTTTGGTACTTCCCAAAGATGAAAGTCCTAGCACTGTGATGGCGAATAATAACAACAATACCTCATCTGCTAGTACAGATGCTACATTGGTAGACGAACGGAGCACGTTTGTAGGACCGCTTATCAATGTTCCAGTCGCTACTACTTCCTTACCACTCAACTCTCCTTCATCAACGGTTCTTGGAAAAAGGAAGAGTGAGAGTAGTGATACTGAGGATGATATAGATCATGGAAAGATGATGGATATTGATAATCCTAGTGTTGGTACTACTTTGGAGGAACAAAACCTTCCATCAAATGATGAAGATGTCAAGATGAATATATCATCACCACAAAGAGTATCAGAATCGCTTGATGACCAAATCAAAATTGATAAACCAACGTTTGATGAACCTATAGAAGGATCAGCTCCAGCTTTTACAACTGATCAATCATCGTCTAGTTTACCTACTCGATCTTCTGTTACTCCAATGAATGGAAATTCTAGACAAGAGGCCATTGTGATTGATTTAACAGAAGATACTCCTCACGGTCCTCCTCCTCTTCCTCCCAGACCGAATCGCAGTCGTAGTTTGGCTGTGACTGATAGTGGATCGCATATGATGTTTGGTATGTATCTCTGCTTTTGGTCTGATATGAGAGATTTCTCCACAGTTTTTATATGAGATTACTAATTTACTCGGGGTGATGGGGGTATTGGTTTTTTATAGGTCGTCAGAATGATGTTTCAGAGTGTATGGACAACTGTCTTTTTCAAATTCAAGCTGCATTGGATGAGACAAAGTTGTCGGCTTCCTATGGTGAAGAAGGAAACATTGTGAAATCGTTGGTGATCTACACTTTGTTTTCATCGGTAGTCATCTGATCGAGTTTTCCATCTTCTTTGTCACTTTCAGTCTGTTTTATGGTCGAACACGACAGTCTCTGAAATTCGATAGCCCAGAAGGCAAGGTCTCAGTAAAGGAAGAACCATTTGCGTATCTGTTGGTTGATGTGGCTGAGGAAGGTAGAGATCTGTATGATGGGTTAGATCGAGTGTTTGATGAAAGTGAGGTGGATGTTGAGAATGGGAAAGCTATCAGACGAGTTGGTTTGGTTCACTTACCACCAATATTACAGATACAACTTCAGGTCTGTCTACTTGATACCTTAGTAAGATTGCCCGGTGCACAAATACTTATCCGATCTTCATCCTCTCATTTTCGACTTGCAGAGGGTACAATTTGATAGAAGTACTCATACTGTCTTCAAATCAAATGCGTACATCAAATTTGAAGAAAAATTGCGGATGGATCGATACCTTGAACCTGATCCTGAAGATCAAATCGCGTTGGAACGTAGAACCAAGACGATTGGTTGTAGGAAAGAGATTGAAAGTCTTCGAGGCCGATACAATGAGTTAACAGCCAATGTCACTGGCGGAGGAAAGGTACGTCGAACTGGTTTAGTTGCATCTCGAGGATATGTCAAGTAGAAGGCGTCTAACCACAAACACCTCGGTGCAGCGTACCTCGAGCAATATATTGCGCGATCTTCATAGTATCCTTACAACCAATCAAGCTACCAGTGCAGTCCCATCCTTACCTGAATTCTTGGGAGACATATTGAAAGAATCAGATATCGAATTTTTGTCAACTGAAGCAAATGCGATCGAAGAGGAAATCAAGGTGGTTAATGAACGAGTAAGAGAATTGAAAGAAGAGGTTGATAAAATGTGGCAAGTTGTTGAGGAACCTATGAAGGATGTATCTGGTGAAGTTGCTCAAGAGTCTGAAAAGATGCAGGTTCAACCTTCGTCGGCTGAATATCGACTTGTTAGTCTGTTTATGCATCGAGGTAAGTTTATCTTTCTTTTAATGTTTAGTTCAGAGATCCCCAAATTTGTCTTATTAAACATTTCTTTGTTATTGCTTATTTTGTTTGAATTCGATAGGTACTGCTTCTGGTGGGCATTATTGGGCAATTCAAAGACAATTACCAGATAAACCAGAACGTTGGTTGAAGTATAATGATAGTGTAGTTTCAGAAGTAGATCCATTATTAGAAGTTTTTAATGAAGCTAACAATTCATCTGCGAATCCATATTGGCTTACGTATGTGAAAGTAGGAGAAGAAGAAAGGTTTGAAATGATGAAGAGAGAAATATTGGAAGAAATTTAAATTATTATTTTTTTGTAGCTTTTTTTTGGTTATTTGTTTGTTTGATTGTATTTTTTTGTTATCAATAATCGGTGATGAAGTTTTAAGAAAGGTTGTGAGTGAGTGAAGAGAGAGAGAGAGGAGAAACATTGAGATTGTTTGTCTTGAATTTTAAAATACATGATTTATGGGATACACTGCAAAATTTATATCTTGGTGCACAAATAGCAATTTATTAACTTTTTTGTTAGAGTTTTCTTTTGTTGGTATGAAAAGAAAATTGGTGGTTATAGACTTCAGGCTGTCAATGGACGTCAAAATCTCTTGTTGTGCCTCAAAGTAGCTTCTATTCCCCGAGATGGTTTCCTGCTTCTCAATGATCCGTCTGTTAGCTTGCGGCTGTTTATTGATACGACGGCTCTTCGGCTCTGGTGGGATAAATGGAACAAATGAATGATAGAAAAATGGATGTTCCTCTCGCGCGTTCTTTTGTGGTGTCATGCAACCAGCCAATGGTCAATCTGACACCATGAAGATTGCATATCCTTGCGATCAAAAGAAGGTCAAAACCAAAAAGATTGATGGCTATACGTGAATGAAACCCAAGATGAAGAAAAATACACATCTGCAAAGTTTTCACTATGTAGTGAGATCATTGATACCTCTATCTATGAGTAGTCACTGAACGTGTGATTTTCCCTCCAGCACCATCCTCAACAAACATTCGAGAAAAGAACACGCCTTCATGGATATTTGTTTCCTGGAGTTAAGGTGAAAAGGTAAAGTAAATCAAATAGCTAAGGTCAAAAGATAAATTCAATTGACTAACTTGTTGTCCATAGTGCGGAGTATCTTTTTGTTTTTCAGGAGGATCCTCAGGATTTGGAATGGGACTTTGATTGGGATATTTATGAACAAAATTGTTAAATCAATTTTTTTTCAACATTTATCAAGTTCACTTACAATTTGATCAACTGTACATGCCATTCTCCTTTTTGAGCATTTTCTGCTCCGATCACTTTAGGATCATTTGTGATGGGTCCTGACTCAAGGATCAAATCAGCATTGTCTCGTGATGCGTATACGGTTAAAGTGCTAAAGACAAGAGTTTGATTAGATGTAGAATTTGTGCAAT